AACATCAAGTTTGGAATAGAAACCCTTGGCAATTTTAGGGACAAATTATATTCGACTTCCAATTCTTATACCTCTTTCATAGCACCCTCTCAAAAGTGCATGAAAAATTCCATCATAGTTATGATCACAATTGAGTAATCCTTCAAAAACATTGCAATTGAATGATTCACTAGTTGAGTAGTACTCATTCCAGGCTGCCCAAGAACTTCAAATAGCATATGGCCATCCTCATTTGTCCTTCACACCAAAGTTTGCTTTTAAACCAACTGATTGTTGTGTGCAATCATACCTATCAAGCATTTGGTCCCATCGTATTCTAAATTTTCTTTCATCATCAATTTCATGCATAAACTTTGCAAAACACACCCTTCAACCCCCACATCTCCAAAAAGACCAACTTACATGCCTTCACAACGTTTTGCCTTCAAAATGCAAAGTTCTGGTGGTTTGTTATTAGGCATGGACCAATTGGAATGGCCCTTAGCCATCGCACATCTTGATCTTGGTGGGAAATAGTTTTTGGAGCTTTGTTTGACATTGCCTCCAAAAAATCTAACACAACCATGTGATTGATTCACAGTCTCTCATACATCAACGCTGACTGAATTAACCGTTTTCTCGATGATGAATTAAAATCCAAACAAAGGTTCCAAAAGTCATATGCTCATATTTTATTTTGTAAGTAGTGTCAAAGGTCACTACAATCACAAAATTGAGCATAATCCATTATCATTTTGAGCATCGGCCCAAAATATATTAGTTATCTGCTCTTCACTAATCAAAGTTGGACTGCATTAATAAAGGAAGGATTTTCCACAGTTTTCTGCGGAAAGTTATTGTAACCACTACCCACTTCTCCATATCCAAATCTTTTTGTCTCTCGATCTTAAATAATTATTTTTGGTCCAATTTGGTAAAGCCAAGTGATTGCTCTTTCTACCACATTCCTACCCAACTAGTCTCATAAGCAGACCTAAGGAGGAATTCCATTCTGAGCTATTCTACTTCATTGCTAGGGTGGTAAGTATTTTTCTTTTGAGATGGCACATATGAACACACTCTTGACGCAACAGGTCATGATTATGGTATGTTCAACAAAACAATTGCAAATCAGTTTCCCTAAATTTCTATCTAACTTTATACTATCGGGCAACCACAAACCACCATCGCAACTTTGTCTCAGAAATTTTACTAGTGGGATCTCGCTTGTCAAATACCCCGAGTTCCCTCTTTATAACATACCCAAAAAAAAATTTTTTTTCCCGGTGAAGTATTCCCTTGGTTTGTTGTTCTGTGTGCATACGACTTCCTAATACGGAAGCCCACCTTTCCGCCATAGTATTGTAAAGTCAAACGCAGCTTGTTCAGAAGTCAAATGCATGCCCAATTTTGGCTTTCCAACCACAACTTACCCAACTCATCAACAACATTATTTTACTCCATTACCTCCCCCCAACAATTGATTACCATACAAATAATAAATAAAGCTACTTCCAAAAATTGATGGATTAGGATTTCTTTAGAAGTGTGCTACAAATACTATGAGTAATTATATAACATTTCCGGTAATTACAATAAGTATACCAGTTGGAACTGATGATGATATTGAATAATATATATATATATATATATATGCTTCAGCTTTGTTTTAAACTTTTCTTTTTCTTTTTTTTTTTCTTTTTTTTATTCGGTGGAGATTGGTTCTGTCATGCCTAACCAGGGCTAACATTTATCTTATTACCATATTTTTTTGTCCTGATGTTATTCTTTTGTAATATTTGGTACTGCAATACACACGATTAAAGCTTTTCCAATATTCCATGTCTAGCTTTTGCCCAAGCCAAAAGATTGACTATATTTTTAGTGGTGAAATTTTCAGTAAATGATTCAAAAAACACTTCCAAGACCAATTCAGCAAGATGAAGCACAAGTCATATTTGTTATATCTGGAATTCCCATGGAATATTTGTTATCTGGAATTTCATAGGACACATAGAGGGAGAGAGAGGGGTTTGGAATTCCAGAAACACCAATTCCATCTTTTGTATGTTGGTAGATGGATATAACCTTTTGCCCAAGTATACATAACACATTAACACAAATTTAAATCAATTGGTAGTTGTATGTTCTTCATTTCTTGAACAATGTAACAGAATTAATTGAAATTTTTTTTGAACACATACATTAGATTCAATTCTTGGTTAATTTTCAGAATTCTAGGTAATTTTTTTTCAATTACAGAATTTGTTACATTTTGCTAATTTGGTGTGGAATTACCCTTTTTTGAACAATTCCATCACATGGGTCAAAAAATTAACTGTTAAAAAAATTAACAGAATTGAAAAATAAACTGAAAAAATATTTGGGCACCATCCACAAATATTAAGTTGAAAGCCACAGAAAATTGAAGAACATAAACAACAAAAAATGAAAAAAAAATTGGAAAACCCAAATTAGATATTTATTCGTATCATCTTTTTTGCACTATCTAGAAACATTTATTAAAAAATTTCAATAGATATTCAAATTATATTATATATATATATATATATGTAATATTAGCTACAACTAATCTGAAAAATATCAGCTACAGATATTCACTTCATTTTACCTCCTAGGGCTTGCAATATCTCTCTTTCGTTTTTTTTTTTTTTTGTGTATTTTAGTTAAAAAAATTAGATGTACTTAATTTAAATATATTTAAAAAGTAAAATATTTGTAAATAAATTAATAAATACCACAATATACTAAATTTTTATATTGTTTTGTATTTAGTGAAATTTTAATTGGGAGTTGAAACTTCAAAATACAAATATAAATGAAAGAGCAAATTATAAATACACCTACTGGAATTTATTTAAATATGAATTGTCTTCTGTAGTTTTGAAAATTACAAATACTCATTTGTTAGAATTTTTTTATTTAACATAATTAACCGAAAAAAATAAAATTTCTAACTACTCTGCTATCCAACAATAAAATTATCAAAATTGTTAATTGAAATATATTTATAACATAATTAAAAATAATAATTGACTTAACGATATATTGATAAAATTGATCATTTGTTACAAGATTATAAATTTAAAGGAACGAAATATAATTTTCAAAATCATAAATCATATTTAAAATAAATCTTAAAGAATATATTTGTAATCTACCAACATAAAACTATTATAATTTGTTGCAGTAGACATTAAACATCATTAACGTGACCATGATTTTATTTGATTTTATTTTTTGCGCAAGATTTTCTCCTTTTGTACGGGTGTGCATGCTCACATTTAAATAGTTTAAAACTATATATTTACAAGGTGATTTTTTTTATTGAATATTTGCAAGGTAAGTTAATCAAGTGAAATTCTTGTCCAGGAGGACTTTCATTTTGTAAGGTTGATGGTTACACGCATAATTTGGATTTCGTTTGGGAATAGATTATTTTTTTATATTATTTGACTATTTTAGTAAGTTATTTTAATTTTTATGTTTAAAAAATGAGTTGACTTTTTTTATTTTTTAATTATTTTAGTTTGGAATTAAGAAGTTCCGTTTGGAATGAACTTTTTGATTTTTGAATTTTTGAATTATTTTAGTTTGGGATTAAAAAATCTCATTTGTGATGAACTTTTTGATTTTTTTAATTTTTGTGAGAAAAAATAAAATGATTATGGTTTGAATGTGATATTTTGTCTTATTGACCTTTTAACCTATTTTGTATTTTTGTGACTAAATTAGCAAAAAAAGCCTATGCCAAACATATACTTTCAGTTTGAAGAAATTAAACTATCCTTGTGAGTACATATGTTTTTACACTTTTAGGGCAAAATGGAAAATTCAAGCTAAAAAAAAAAAAAAGTATGTCATTAGTTATTCATATTTTTTCATATAACTAGAAAAGTTATTTAGAGAAATTAGGATGGTAGTCCCTTACTTTAATCATTGTGTCATTTTAGTTTTTGTAATTTTAATTGGTTTGATTTTGACCTTAAAATTTTCATTTTGTCTTAATTTAGTCAAATTGATTATAATTCTTAACTTTTCTTTATGGAAAATAAGTACAAAAGTGTCACGAGTCATATTTTTAAGGACAATTATAGACTTATTTGACTCAGGAAGTTAATTTCAACAAATTTAGTGGTAATTTTTTTTTAAAAAAACACTAACGATATTATCAGTTGGATCAAATTGATACAAAATCTAAAATTAAATATTAAAATTAAGCCAATTAAAAATGTAAAGATCAAAAATAATATAAGAGGTAAAATATAAGAACCATTTGTAATTTGCCTAAATTATTTCTAAACATATTTTATCTCTTAAAAAAAAAATCAAAAAAAAAAAAAAAAAAAAAAAAAAGTCAATCCTAAAAAAAAAATATCCAACTTCCCAAATAATACCTTAATAAAAAAATAATATCTCATGTGATTTATCCGAGACTGACAACTGAACAAGCACAGATCCAACTTTCCTTTCTCCCTCTCCCAAGTCTTCGTCACCCTAAATTTTAGCATTTTTTCAGGTTACAAGTCAAAAAAAGAAAAATGCTTGGGAGCACTAATTAGTGCTCCCACTAATTAGGTGGCAGTGGATCTCACCATTAATGATGTGATGTTTTGGTCTTGGAGTTGTATTTATTTATTTATTTTTTTACTTTTTTAATGCATTAGTGCTATTAGTGATGATATTTTTAGTGGGATGAATCATTGTTGGTCAAAAAAATATATATATAATATAATATAATAAAATAAAATAATTAATAAAATAAAATATCACATCAAATCTACAATCATTTTATCACTTCTTTCCCACAAACATAATATTTAATTTTTTAAAAAAAATTCAACCATCTCTCTAAATACAAAAATTTAAATCTATTAAAATAATCAAAAATTAAAATAACTTATTAAAATAACAAATTTCCAAACCCCCACTATATATACCGCCACCGGTACTTCTTTTTCTGCGTAACCAAACAACAACAATTCTGTCTCTCCGCAGCCCTGACAAAGAAAAACGAGTTGGTTGTGCAGACCCCCGTCGATCCTGGTACTCTCTCTCTATAATCTATCTCTCTGTATATGTAATTGATCAGATCATATCTCTGTGTGAGTTAAATTACTCTTCCGCTGCCCTTTGTGTGGTGTGTTCATGTAATTCAGATTCAGAATCAAATTTGAAGAAATTGAACTCTAATGGAAATTGTGTGTAGTGGGTATTTTGATTTGAAGCGATCGAACTCCAATTGAGTTACGAATTGAAAAGAATTCGATGGAAATTTGATATTCCCATAACTAATCTTTGGTTGTAAGGAACAGAGGGTGAGTTACATGAGTTTTGATTGGATGTTTTGTGAGAATTAGTTAATTTTTGGATCAAATATAAAAGTTGTCTTGTTGATTAATGGATTAAAAACTAGATCTTTAAGATCAGGGATGCAACATAGATTTTATATTATAGAAGATCACTACAGAACTTGAATTGAAGGTATACAGAATTGGGAAACGGAGAAAGTAATTGTAAATTAATGGGTGCAAGTGGGGATTTTGGCATTTTTGCGCAATTCCCTCTTGCACCAGGCACATGTCTCACTTATGGGTGATTTACCATGATCAAATTATTTGACAATCATGGTAAATTACCTATATTGAATTTTTATAATTCTCCCTTCAGTGGGATCAGAAAATGTTGGCTTGATGGTGCATTTTCATATTTTGTTAATTAGTCTTTAGTTGTTCATGAATGGGTCCTGTTAGAGCAACCCATTAATTTTGGGTTAGCTTGAATACCTTTGTGTGTCCGTTGTCCAAATTTGTTTTTGGTGATAGTTCGCTGTCTGCTGAAGCTTGATCTCATTATTAAATGCTGATTTTGTGCGATCACACTATAGTTATATTGTTGACTCTGTGATTTCACTGGATTAATGAGTTTAAAACGTAGGTTACAATGCGACACTGATTTGTTGTTCAAATGTGCAGTCACTGTTCTTTTTTCGACCGCTCTCTCTTTAAGACGCACAATCACGGACATAGAACAAGACACAACACGGACACACTACATAACATGGACACACTAAATTGTTGACACAACAATTTAAAAAAATGTAGGACATGAAACATGGGGACATGCACAAAATATATAATTTTGTACATTTATTATATGTCGTAAATATAAGGCTAAATACACGGACCTCCTATGAAGTTTATGACAATTACATGGACCTCCCCGGTTAGATTGACAGAGGAAGTGATTTTACTTTTTACCCTTGTACTTTTACATGTATCCAAACAAGCTTTATTCAAAATAAATAATAATAGGACACGTTTGGAGTATCGTCAGGAAGTATCCTATGAATGTCGATGTCCTACACTGTTCGACACAGACACTACATGGGCATGCCACCTTCTTAGAATTGTTTGTTCTTCATAGCTTTCTCTTGTAGCAGCTCATTGAAAGCGTACAAAATATTGGGACTTAAAATATAGCCCTCATCTGTTTATCATTTTAATTCTGTATCTAAATAATAGTGAAAACTGGAAGTTTTTAGGGCATTAATATATTATGGGTTTTGAGATTGTGATTTCTCTAGCATATAGTGCTTTTTCATGCTTGTTTGTGTTGCAGCTGTTGCTTGTGCCCCTGCATGCTGATTTACGCTATTTTCCTTTTATATGTCTATTTTATTGTGTTTGAATCTAGAATTTGTGGAGGGAATAAAAAAAGGAAGAAAAAGTGGGAAAAAAAAAAGTTTCACCCACTTTGCCATTCCATTTACTTTTTTCTTTCACAAATCAAAGATCCAAACACAATGTGTTTGATGTGATTCTAGTGAGCATCCTTGTAGAGGTGATTGTTTGGATCATACCATCAAGCAAAAAGTACAGGAAAATAAAATAAACTGTTTGAATTATACCAACCCCAAGGTTTCATACTTCCAATGCAAAGTAATGGGTATGTTACAATTATTTTGGTGATTTGGTTTGACATTCTATGTCAAAGCATGCTCCTTCTACAAAATGAACATGCATGAAATTTTGGACAACAGTGCCTATTTCAATAGAGTGGGTAAGTAGGCAATATTAATGTTCATTTTGATTTTAAAAAGAAAAAAAAAAAAAGAAGAAAAACTTTGAGCTAAAAAGGTACAGTTCTAATAATTTTTTTGCCTGTGCTACAGATTTCTGGATCCAGCAAGTAGAGAATGGACATAAAAGGATGCAAAAAAGGAAGAAAACACATGACAACTAATGAAGAAAGAGAAAATGACAAGGAAGATGAACAGCAGCAACAGGATCATACAACAACAGCAGAAAGTGTAGTTAGTTTTGGTATACTTGAACTGCCTATACACTTAATATATGACATACTCTCAAGGAACTCTCCAAAGACCATACTCTGTTGCAGATGTGTTTGCAAAACATTCCTCAAAATCCTAACAGACCCTTATTTTGCTGAAATCTACCTTATTAAAGCACCCAATGTTGCTGCTAGCCTTATCCTTCAAGACAGTTCCATTCCCAATGGATTTGTATTTGTCTACATGCTTGATCTTGAGGTGACGTCATCCGCTGCCTCCTGCAGCACTCATCACCATCCTTCTCGTCCTTGCCAAGGATTGACAGTGAAAAATACCAAATTTCAGTTCTACCATGGTCATGTGACTCTTGTGGGTTCATGTAATGGATTGCTTTGTCTACGCCGTGATTCATGGTCAAAACCTCTTTACTACATTTGCAATCCAATTCTTGGTGAACTTATGGTCCTTCCCCAACAATCTCCGTCAAAACCAGTTTATCTTAAGCTTGAAAATTCTGGGTTTGGTTTCTGTCCAAAGACTAAGCAGTACAAGGTCATTCGTTTCATGTGTTTGACATCTTTTGATAGTACAATTTCAAAGAAAGCAGTCGCTGAGATACATACACTTGGCACAGAATCCTGGAGAAGCATTGGGGATGCCCCATGCCCCAGAATGCGGGGGTCGTTTGACTCTTTACTAGATGGTATTCTTCACTGGATTACTGATAGTGTTACGGCTTTTAATTTGATTTGTTCCTTCGACTTAGAGACTGAGCAGTTTCGATCTATCGCTGCACCTACCCACTTTAATGCAGATTATGTTAATAAAATTTCTTGTATCAATGTTGGGGTACTAGGTGGGTATCTCTGTCTATGCTATGTACTTGGCGATGCTCAATTTGATGTTTGGGTAATGAAGGATTATGGTGTAAAGGAGTCCTGGACTAAAGAGTTTACCATTGACATCAATTTCTATTGCGGACTGCGAGTGAAGGACTTGCATCAACCAATTAAATTTTTGAACAATGGGGATATGTTGCTCATAACTAATTCCAACTCTCTAGTTTCTTATAGTCCTCGGAAAAGAACCTTCAGAGAATTTAAGGCTTTGGGGGATCCAAATCTTCAAGCTGTTGCTCATATTCCAAGCTTTATTTCCCTCAAGGATCTTGCGAGAGGGAAAAATGTGAAAAAAGTGAAACGGAAAAGCAAGGAAAGATTTGTTTGGACGAGGGAATTTCGTTTATTAGAGTGTGCTCCATAAAAATTATTCTCTCAAGTAGCTTGCTTCAGAGTCACTTCTATGCATTAGAAACAAATGTGCATATTTAGATTATTTGTTAATAAAAAGTACGAATATTGGTTGTAATTAGACAGATGATACATTTTCTGTTTCTCTTCTATTGAACATATGTTATTAAAGCTTGTGCCAGAGCAGGCTTTAACCTCATATATGCAGTTTTTTGTTGGATCAATTTGTATTTGTTGGATTGTCTTGTAGTGGGAAATGCAGAAAATGCTGTGGAGCATAAACTCGAGTTCACTAGAGGACGACCTTCGTCAACAAATTAAGAAGAGAACTAAATAAACTGGTGAAGAGCAATTGATCAAATTACTATATCAGCCTTATGGGCAATTACGGGTGGTTTTTGCCCTGCAGGTGAGTGGGAAATATGCATATTAATTCACCTTAAATGCATGTGTTACTCCACAATGGGATAGTTTTTGATTATATGCATTTATAAGTACCATTTTTGCTGCTATAATTTACTCTTAATTCTCATTGTTATAGCTTGCTTAGCCATGTAACTTTTACTTGTCTGTTCTAGGCCAGGGATCCTGTGTCTTTAAAATCTTTCTTTATGTTCTCAATATACTCTCAATTGAAAGATGTGTTAGGAATCTCGAAATAAGAGAATCTCACGACATGATCTTGTGGTGAGAAATTTATTTTTGGTCTAGAAATGTGTTTGAATAGGGGAACAAAGATTTTGGGGATAGAGAATCTGAGCACCCGTTCCAAGTGCTCTCAAGATGTTTATTCTTCATTGTTGATTGTGTATCATATGCCGATTCAATTTTCCACATATATAATGACCACAGTATAATAGCTTTGTAAGTAGGTTGTATTGTGCTCAATGTGGGCTTTTTAGATTTGATGAAGTTTAGCTTTGTACTAGCCTCTTGAAGGAGGAAAAATAAGAAGGAACCAATATGCCTCCGGTCAGCTGGCTGCGACAACACTTGACCGAGTATGGCTGCCCAGAGTCTGGTGGCATGATACGATTGGTCGTCACCCTCGGCCATGACAACACTTGGTTGTCCACTACATAATTGTTTCATAACTGAACATGTCCTGGATAAAGTGTGAATTGGAATTTTAAATTCTGTAATGAATATGGAGTTCTATTTACCAAAAACAGAGAATCTCCATGTTAGCATAGCAGCCTGTACATTTAAATTCAATTTTCTTCATGTGAAGAGGGTAGCATTGAAAAACATTCAAATTATATGTCAACACACCCTCTTTGGATGTGTATTTGGGCAGAAATTATTTTTGATCTATGGAGAGTCTGTTCAGAATTCCATCCTATCCAAAGGGTTGGTTTGTCACTTGTATCCTGAATCTGTATCCTGAATTTTATCACTTCATAATGTTTATATCCTCCATAATATTGCAGACAACTCTGTTCTGTCTTGAAGGCTTATTTATTAATATCTTGTCCCATTTCTGCTAACTAATTGTGTTTATATCCTTATAAACATAATTTAATCCATTAATTTAACTGAAAGAACTGAGTAGATACTATTGTAAGAAAAATTGAACAATAATGAAACACCTCTTTCTCAAATCATTTCGAATTCAAACATTGATATCAAAACTTCCAAAAAAATCAAACAGACAGCACCAGTGGGAACGAGTAGTGTCTGACCATCTCATAGCTAGTTTATGTTTAATGTAGTTAGTTTTCTCACAACCACCACAAAAATAAGGATTGATGTTTGTGCACCTAAGGCTTATTCTCATAATGAAAGCCTAGTAGCATGATGGTAGAGAAACATGACCCAAGCCACTTGATACAGTGAGACAGTGCCAGTGGGGGTTGATATGATATCGTACCTTTTTTTTCCTTTCCAAACTTGTTCCAAGCTGATATTGCGCATGTCCAGTGCAACTAGGTTCTAAAGGTGACAACTGTCCTGTATGAATTTTAAAGGGAATCCGCGCCAACACAACAACGTTAAATTTTTAGGAAACTTCTCATAGCCTCCGGTGAGATGTACACAGTTGAGTTGTAGTCTCAGTTTGCGCATCTTTGAGAATGCATCAGTGCTTAAGTCGGCCTCACCCAAACCCTTTATGGCTTCCTTCATTGAGTGCCAAGGGAAGAAGGCAAAAAGCAATGTTCGTTCAGTGAATTGACTTGGTCCGGTGACCTTGATTTGTCTAGAATGAGACTTTCAAATGCAATAAAGAGAAATCATTCGATAAATGAATGAATAAATAGATTATTAAAAAAAAAAAAAAACACACACACACACACACACAAACATGCAAAGCATTTGGGCATGTTTGGTTTGTTTTTCAAAACTTGTTTTTGGAGAAAAAATTTCAAAAACATATTTGGTTGAAAATTTAAAAAAAGAAAGTAGAAGAAAATTCTAAAATCATTTCTCTTTATTAGATATCGATCAATCACTTTTTTTGTTGTTGTCTCATTTCTCATTCTCAATCACTTTTTCTCTCGTACCTATTTATTCGATTATAAAAAAAATATCAAATCATTCCAAACGCCAAATTATTTTTAAAATATACAATCAAACAAATTTTTTAATTTTCTAATCTTTTCTAGAAAATTATTTTTAAAATAATATTTCAAAACACAAATCAAACGGAGCCTTTCTCGTATAGTTTTTTCTCTTACTACGTACAACACATCCTTATGATGCCACAATCTGCTAGGTTTCCCAAGCTCGGATGATTCTTGGCAAATAATTTCTCTTGCCATGTCCCTAAGCAACCGATGCACTACCACCTTGTTTCTTTCATTGATCGTTATGAGACATCTTTCCATCGGATTCTCAAGTCCAACGATTGGGTAGAAACCACATCCATCTAGTATTTTATCACGTAGTGAGGAATAAGTTTGTCATGATTTTCTTGAGAATCATAGCTTACTTTTAGTACTTTTGTAAAGCCAATCCTTCGTTCCAACAATAGCGTTTGGTTTGGTCCATTTTATCAACATCATCGAGAACAAGAACTCTTTTGCATCGAATAGCATGTTTAATCTTAGACATTGCTTCATCAACACTATATTTTTTCCTTTTTGCCCCTTTACAATATACGATAGAAGTTGTTTCAGAAAACAAATCAAACCATTTGGTTCGTTTAAAAGTGGGCGAATTACATTAATAGTCTCTATAATTTAAGACTTGTATCATTTTGATTTCTGATTTTTCAATTGCGACACATTGTACCATAAATTTTGAATCTTATTCCAAATAAGGAAAATTAAAGATATCATTGCTCAATTTCAAGGGCAAAATCGTCAATTTAATAAAATATATATACTAATTTGAAAAAAATAAATATCAAAAAAATATTTTTTAATTTTTAAAAATTATTTCTACTCATCAAAGATGAAATTATGTAAAATTGATAAATCTTTTACACATTTAGTTTTTTTTTTTACCAAATTAATTTTTGCTATGTGATTCAATGATGATCATATAATGGGCGGTTATTTTTATTTTTATTAAATTAGTTTCTATTTTTTCGAGAGTCAATTATAGCGACAATTTTGATATCATTATTAAACAAATTCATTAAATAAAAAAAATTCAAAACTAAGAACATTTCATATATTAAATGTATTGATTACACATTAAAAGCTTAACAATCATCTATTACATGACCATTATCCAAACATATAATAAAAATCAATTTGGTAAAATAAATAAATGTGTAAAAGATTTATCAATTTTACACAATTTTATCTTTGGTGGGCAGAAATAATTTTTAAAAATTCAAAAATATTTTTGACATATATTTTTGTCAAATTAGTTTATATTTTATCAAATTAACGACTTTACCCTTAAAATTGAATAATAGTATCTTCAATTGTCGTTATTTAAAATAAGATTCAAAATTTAAAATCAAATATGTTACAATTAAAAAATAAAAAACTAAAGTAATATGAGTCCCAAAGTATAAAAATTATTAGGATAATTCGCCCTTTCAAGTTAGCATGATATTTGCAAGAAAGCTTCCACTTTCAAATTTTTTGAAGTTATAAACTATTCTTGCAATGGTTGTCTTTCCAATACCGCCCAACCCACGTATCGCCATTATTTCAATATCGGTTGAGGTATCTTCTATCCATGAATTAATGCTTCTGACTCGATAATCTATCCCGCTTGGATAAGGAACAACAGTCAAGATCGTTCGGTTCAACTTATTCCCAATCTGTTCGACAATTTTTTGGATAAACTTTGATTTGTGCCTGCAAAGTATGTAAAGCTCAAAGGCTAAAAAGTGTCTGAGTAATGATCATGAAAAAACTTTCATGAAAATGATCATGAAAAATTTATGACCTTTAGATTACATTTAAAATAAAGCACCACACACTAATCAAGTTAATCTAAGGGTCATAAATTTTTCATGACCAATTTCATGAAAGTTTTTTTATGATCCCTATTTTTTCTCTTTTTTTATTTCCTAAGCCACCAAATCTTCTAAGAGTTTATTACAATTCTACCCATAAACAAAATTACCATCGAGGACAAAAACTTCAAAAATTTGGAAAAAAAATTCAGTCATATCTGCCCACCGTCTCTCTCCCCCCTCTCCTGCCGACCACACTGTATCTGTCTGCACTTTCCCCTCGCCAACCCCAACCCTAACCCCAACCCCAACCCTAACCCCAACCCTAATCCCAATCCCTTCCCTGCAACCTCCAACTTGCAATCTAGTCTCTCCTAACCCCTCTTCCGCCACCCCTAGCCCCTTCCTTCTCACCCTATAACCTCCATACGTACCCACCCAACTACCCAATCCCCCACCACTTGTACACCCCTTTGCAACTTCTCTCTAACCCCCGCAACCCCTCTGCCCCATCCTGCCACCACCCCTCTTTCCCCACCTCCACCCAGCCCACGAACATTGTAAGAAAGAGAGAGAGGGAAAGTAGAGAAAGAGAGAGAGAGAGAGAGAGAGAGAGAGAGAGAGGGGTGTAGAGAGAAGGTGGTGAGGTTAGGGATGAGGTAGGTTAGGAATTATGGAGGTGTGGAAAGAAAAATAAAGGTAGCATTCAGTTTAGAGAGAGAAGAGGACCATCTTCAGCTGTGATATTCAGCTTTAAATTCCTTCAACTGTAATATTCAGCTTTCAATTGAATGCCTTCAAATTTTTTTTGATTTTGGGTGGATGTAGAGAGAGAAAAAGAGAGGCTGTATTTAGTAGGCACCCTAATCAACAACTTGATTCAAGGAATTCAAATTTATATGCTTTGAACCAAATGAAACCTTTTTGCCAAAAAAAAAGAGTGGATAACTAAAGAAAAGATTCAAGGAAATTACCCATCAGCTTGATTTTCTAGTTCCATCCCTTTCAAGTCTGCAACTTCTTTGAGTGCTTTCCTCCACCTTACCACCATGTCTATCCATTCCTTCCTCCTTTCATCATTTTCTGCATTAAATCGCCCTCCATGTCTAGCAAATGCTTCTGCATAACTCCCCGTTTGTTTCCTGACTTGGGTTGGTTCCACATCATAAAAGATGCGCAAAACTTCATGTTTGGAGTCGTTATTGCGTTGGAGGATCTTAATCTCGAGAGAAGACGATTATAGAAATCCTTGACTGCTTAATTGCCTCTTGCAACGCTAACTCAATATTCTTTCCTACCTCGATTTCATCGTCATCCCTGGAAGTGTGAAATCTGCATGCACCACAGCTGTATAAAGGTAGTCAGTAAAGTTCTTGAGAGTGTCTTTACCTCTGAAACTCAAGAAGACATCGTAAGTACATCGAGATGTTGAAGAAGAGGCTTCTTGGTCTATCACATTAGCCATTGAACCAAGCTATAGGATTTGAATGAATGCGAAAATGAAAAACATGCAAGAGATGCCCAATTTGTTCATCTAATCAAAGTTAATAACACCCAATGAATATAAAACTATTAACGATACTTAAAAACAAGAAAATAGACAAACAGTATCACATTGTCATTGTCCAAAGAAGAAGAAAAAAAAAAGGTTTCCCATCTAAATAGGACAATTTTGAAGCGTAGTTATCCATGGGGTCCTAGTTGAGCATCTCTCATTGTCTGTACAAATGTTAAATCACCACTGCTCAGAAAAGCAGGCAGGCACCCAGTTAAAAGAAAAAAAAACACACACACACACAATACAAAAGAAGATAAAATTTTGAAACTTGAATCAACGTAACGTTTTAAGTTGTTGAAATGAAAAAGATGTACTCAAGATGAGCCAAAATAGTTTAGCAAGCTCTAGAAATACATTGGTCTAACTCCCAACATTTTATCCATAACCAAGTGGATTTTAAGGATGCAAATTAAGATTGGCAAAATGGCAAACAAACATATCCTTTGGGATAATGACCATATCAATATTTTGTTGTGAACCAGCATCAGTGTCTGGAATTTGAAACCCATCATAGAATTTACCACCATAAAGCTTTTTTCGAGTCTACAATCAAAAAATGAAAAAACAAAAAAACACTTGCATTATCAAATTGAAGGAGCAAGAGATCTGTTTTGTTAGTGAGAGAATGAAGGAAAACAACAGAAGGTAAAGAGAATTCAAATTGAACATATTTCAGAATGGAATAAGCTAAGACACTTCCAACAAATAATACATAATTTTCCCTGTTCTCATGGTGCACACTGAGCTATTAGAAGACACAATAGCCATGAACTAGAACTAAAAGACAATTTATTTAATACATAACAAAGGACAATCAGCAAAATGAAATTCCCAAAACCTTAAATACATACCAGTGGAAGAACAATGTTGCTGCCTGAAATTCCCAGCAGCACAAGCCATGGAACACTCCCAAGTCCCAAACCCCATCAGGCTTTGAAAGTTGAGCATAGACACAAGTACCCTTGACATTAAAACATAGCAAACAAGAAAACAAGAAGGCAAAATAGGTAAGAAAACAAGAAGGAATCAAAACTTATATGCATGTATAGATGTATATGTATATATTCATATCAATAGCTGTAATAAATTAAAAATTATGCAAACAAGATAATAGTGCAAATAGCATGCGCTACATCATGTATATCAAAGGTTTTTCGATCATTTGAAGTAGCAAAAACACTAAAGATAATATAGGTTTTTGTGAATTAAAGAAAAACTCTAGACACAACCACTACAAGAAAAAGCGTTTTTGGCGACTAAAAATTCAATTTTCGTCGCTGAAAGTTGTATAATTGGCGACTAAAATGGATTTAGTCGCCAAAATTGAACCCTTTTGCCGACTAAAATACGACTAAAATGGATTTAGTCGCCAAAATTGAACCCTTTTGCCGACTAAAATAGTTTAGTCGCCGAATACCAGGCTTTTAGCGACTAAAAGTCAGTTTAGTCGCAGAATGTAGGGGTTTTAGCGACTAAAGGTTTTTTGGTAGCCAAAAGTGACGGTTTTTGGCGACTAAAATAATTTAGTAGCCAAAAGTGATGGTTTTGGCGACTAAAAAACAGTTTGGTCGCCGATTCACATGAACCAGAGCCCTCCCTCCCCCCTCTCTCTCCATCGCGCATCAATGCTGTTTTAGACCGTCGGTTAGGGTTTCTCTCTCTCCCTCTTCCTCTCTCTTTTCCATCGTGATCTGAAACTGGAAATCATCTCTAGCATTCACTCTCTCTCCGCCGCTTCCCGCACCTACATCGACGGTTGGTCGTCGACCTTATTTTTTTAGCGACAAAAAATTAATTAGTAGCCCAAAATCATAGAATTGGCGACTAAATAATGGATTTAGTCGCCAAAAGTGGCCTAAAATTTTTTTTAATAAATAACTTTTTTTTTGCATAAATTATATTGAATTAAAATAATTATATTTATATATATTGTTTTGTATTAATACTGTCAATATATTATATAAATAATATATATTGCAAATATATTCATGTGATGTTGTAGTGGCATAGTGGAGGGAGTGTGTTGCAAAAAAGGTTGCAATGTGGGATGGTTGGGCACGGTTCGAAACTCAGAAAAACCAAAAAAAAGTGGTTTTTTTTTCCCGACGGAACACCTTTGGCGACTAATATTTTAGTCGCCAAAAGTCTTGATTTTGGCGACTAAGCCGTTTAGTCGGCGATTGATTGAGTATTGGCGACTAAATTATTAGTCGGTAAATGTATGATTTTCAAAAGGCTAAAACACTATTGGCGACTAACATTTTAGTCGCGAAAGACCTGTCTTTTGGCGACTAAAAACATATTAGTCGCCAATGCCTACGCCAACAATGTATACGCGACAAATGTGGCGACTAAAGAATTTTGTCGGGGAAAGTCAAATTTCGACTTTCGGGGACTAAAAACAGACTTTTGGCGAATAAAAATTTAGTCGCCAAAAGTGACTTTTCTTGTAGTGAACTACCAAGCGCTGTTTTTTTAGCCAACACTGTTTAGAGGGATAGAATAACCCCAAAAAGCTGTTAAATTTTACAGTCTGTAAAGATTTTGATATCAAATGGACACAAAATAACGCAATTTCAACAACAAAATTATTTTTCATTATTATGACCAATATTATGAATTTAGGTTGAGGAAAATCAATATTATGAAAATTCATCTTACCAAGTTTATGGGCTTGAAAAGTCAAGCTCACTAGGTAATATAGCATTATATGGTCTAAAAATTAAATTATCTACGTTTTTGAACTCAGAAATATAAGCTAATGAAATACATGATTTTACCTTACAACTTTGAAGAAGTTTATGTTGCCTTTGAATCACATTATTAGCTTCAAGTCTCCATTATTCAACTTCTAAACTTACTCATGGACTCACCCAAAGCTCACAACCAAAAGTACAGACATTATGAAAATTAATTAGCAACAATACAAAAAATAGAGGTGTACAAAAAAAAAACCGGTTTTGAAAATGGTGGAACCGATCCAATCCGGTCTAAGCTGCCAATTTGGTTTGGTTTGGTTTTAATTAGTTTCGGTTCTGGTTCCAGTTCTGGTTTTGAAAATGGTGGAACCATTTAAATTGGTCTGGTTGCCAATTCCTAGGCTTTGGTTGAGGTTCCGAACCAAACCAGACCCTAACATCTTTATTTATTATTATTATTTTATATTTTTATATGTAAATATTAAAATATAAAAAGTCTTTTATAAGATTTGAACACTAGCATTCATTGTGAAATTGATAAACTCGAACTAACTTAACCAAATTAATTATCATTAATTTGTTTACTAACATAAAATATATATCATGTTTGTTGTTATATAAAATTTATAGAACCGTAAAATTGAACCGAACCAAACCAAACCAAACTGATTTTTATGGTTCGGTTTTGGTCTTTTTCCACAATTTAACGGTTCAGTTATGGTTCTAATTTTTCTAAAACCAATTCTTACGATTCAATTCTTGGTTTACTCTAAAACTGAACCAATCTAATCTATTTACACTCCTAACAAAAAAATGACTAAAGAGTATATTCATTTTTCTTAACAATCGTAACTGCTCTCTCTCTCTCTCTCTCTCTCTATATATATATATATATATACTATTATATATGTGAGCACTGATTTGGTGTTCAAGAGTGTTGTGACTTCTCTTACAATAAAAAATATTATTTGAAGTTTCTACCACGTGACAAATTTTTCTGCCTTAAAATAAAAATATATTATTTAAAGTTGTGAGCAAGATTTGAATCCAAAACCTTGAATTTTATTAAGAGCACTCTTATCATTTAGTCAATATACATATTATGATTTTAGTTTATTTATTATTTATTTTTATACTTACTTATCTAAATTACACACGTATTCACTTCCTCGTATATATTATATATAAAGTGCTAATATCGTGACAAACCAATTAAGGGTCACATTTGACCAAAAGAATAAATTTAATATAAACAAAGACTCACACTGATTGGAAGACATGTCAAACAATAAGTATTTATCAGCAAATACAACAGGTGCATAGAGAACAAGTTGACTTCTGCTTTGTTTGGATGCACAAGCCCATGTTCAAGCGCTGGAACCACCATTGCTTCTGCATGTTCCTCTGACTACTATCATCTGCAAAAGCTCTCTTTGGAAGCTTGGCATCTGCCTCATAGTAGCCTCTAGCATCTTTACATCACAAGGAGGCTAAGGATTTGCCTTATGTTGGTCAGGGTAACTCAGCTCTGGGTGGTAAAGAGTCTCCAAAGAATAAGTCATACCAGCCCTTTGTAGTCCATTCATCATCGTTTGAGAAGCTTTGCTGGATATCAAAATCATGATGGCAAAGGAAGTACATGCCCGTTCTTACCTGATATGCTGATAAATCTTGATCAATCACATTTTGATGAGGAGCGGTGATCTGTTGGGTACCCTTCTTTTCTTGTTCATACACAACATGAATGCCAAAGTTTTTTAGCTCAACTGCATTCCACAGAAACACTGAAACATCCACTTCATCACCACTTTCCAATTGATTCCCAATGTTCCAATGGCTCAACCATGTCATGTTTTTATAGCCTCTTCCATTTGGAAGGCCCATGATTGTTGGGCTGTAGACCCATTTCAAACCCTTCGTCTTGTTACTGGTTTTAATATAAAACTCATTCCAGTGCTCATCTCTTGGATCATTGGACCTTTTTTCGGCAGTTGCAATCACAACACAAACATTCAAACCTTGGATATTAAGATTCGGATGTGAAGGCACTTTAAAACAAATTGAGGACCCTGTGCTCTTAATGCTAAACCACCTTGGAACCTCACTTCCCGGAAGAGAAGTGCTGAATATGTTAAATTCATAGAGTCCCTGTGCCATATAGGTTAAATGATTTAATTAGCACTTGAAAGAGATGTGTGTGATGTGCATGCTTGCAGGTGTGGGTGAGAGAGAGAGAGAGAGAGAGAGAGAGAGACCTGGAGGGGAAGTTTCCTTTTTGTAAGTGTCAGGTTATTATACATTTCCACCTCAACTTTTCCTATGACATCCAAGTTGAACAATCCCAATTTGTTTATCATTTCCACATCAATGTTTACAATGGGTACTAACTTGAACAATCCCTGAACTTCAACTAGATTGCTGCAAAGATTTATAAGCAAGTCCAGTGATCTCAACAGGTTTGGTAGATTTGTTACCACTTCTAAAGACTCGCATGTGTGTAAATCCAAGTCACTTAAACTCATTGGAAGCTCTGGAAGGGATTGGAGTCTAGTGCAACTATTTAAACGAAGTGATTGGAGCATAGTAAGACAATTGATGCAATCTGGTAGACTACAAATTGGATTCCCTGTCAGATTCAAGCTTTGCAACAAGGACAGGCCACCAATATCCCTAGGAATGGCATCGTCTGGTAGATTGCAGTACGCAAGACTTAAGCTTACTAAGGAGCGTGATAAGGAAGCCAATGGAAAATTGATGGAATTTGGACACTTCTCTGGTTTCAATATCCGTGGCCAAAAGAATGAGTACCACAACTTGTCCTCGCCAGTGGTTGACAGTGATTGACATATAGCAGTTCTGTTTGCATGGAACACTGTCAAAGATTCCAAGTTGCTCAACTCTATAGGGAACTGATTGAGCTTTGAGCAACCAGAGATGATGAGCTTTCTAAGGGATTTCAGGTGACCAATTTGTTGTGGAAGCTTCCTAAGTCTTTTGCAGTCTTCTAGATTCAACAAAACAAGTCCCCGTAATTCTCCAATGGATTCATGAACCTCAATCAGATTTGTGCAATCTTTAAGAATTAGTCTCTCCAAATTAGGAATTTCTGAGAAGTCAGGGGTATTGGTCAGCCGGTGGGAATGACTGAGGTTGAGGATTTTCAGTAATTTGAGCAACTATAATAAGAAAATGAATTAAATTTAATGAATATTTATAGTAAACCCCAAAAATTTGAAACAAGGAAAGATGAGAGGAAAAAGGAAAATAATAAACTAATGTTATACCTTTGTTCCCCTCCAAAATCTTTCCAGTCTGCCATAGCGCATGTCAAGTGCAACCAAGCTCTCCAAAGGAAACTCATTGGGTATATATTTCGAAGGGTAACCACGCCAACACAACCATCTCAATTTCTTGGGAAATACCTCATATTGCCCTGTGAGCCGTACATTACTGAGTTGAAGTAGTCTCAATTTGCACATTCTTGAAAACGCATCAGTTTGTATGTTTACGTCTTTTGATGTGACAAATGAATCTATGAAGGTAGAATATATGGGGAGGCGAGACAAGAAGCTTAGACGACGTCGCTTTGATGGATGACCTTCATAGAGCATTGTTGACACATCAAGAAAGTCACCAGAATGGTGTCTTTTAAAATTATTTACCCCCCAGGATAAGTTATCTTGGTTTGATGCATGAATGTTAAGGATGAGACCTTCAATTGTTTCGGTCCCCTAGAAAAAATAAAGGACCATGTAAGTATGCACACCAACATAAAAACATACAAGTAGATGTGAAAAGCATAGTACTTACACTTTTCTCAATTAATACATTGAAAGAATCCTTATGATGCCACAGTCTGCTTCTTTTGTCAGGTTCCTCAGGTGACTCTTGTCGTATTACTTCTCGTGCCATGGCTTGAAGCAACTGATGCGTCATTAGCTTGTTATTTTCATCAATTGTTAAGAGGCATCTATCAATGAGATTGTCAATCCCTACTCTTGTGTGGAAATCACATCCATCTAGTATTGAAATAATGAAGTCTCTGTCTTTTCTAACAAAGAAACAAGCAACATCTAGGAATAGATTTCTGTCATGGTCATCTAAAGAGTCATAACTTATTTTAAGTTTTTTAAGGATTTGGCTATCAGGAATTGCTTCCAATTTCTTTAATGCACTTTCCCACACATCTATATTTCTGTCGTATAGAGAAGAGCCCAAAACTTGAAGAGCTAAAGGCAGCCCTCTGCAGTACTGCACTACTCTTTTTGAGTGCTCCACGTAACCTTCAATTGGATGGTCTTGTTGAAAGGCATGCAAACTGAAGAGCTCAAGTGATTCATCATCATTTAGCTCCTTAACCTTATGTACCTTACAAAGTTTTTGTGCCGTTAGCAACCGCTCACGTCTAGTTGTTATGATAATTTTACTTCCCGGAGAAAACCAATCTTGCATCATGAGTACCGCATTTAATTGCTCCACTTCATCCACGTCATCAAGCACAAGAAAAACTCTTTTACAGCATATAGCACCTTTGATCTTACTAATACCTTCATCAACACTGCGAATTTTTGTATGTTTCCCTTTCAAAATATCCTGAAGTAGCTTTCTTTGCAAACAAACCAAGCCATCGTGTTGTTCTGATATTTCCTTAATATTTGCAAGAAAACTGCTACCTTCAAATTTGTCGAAGTTAAGATTATAAACTGGAATCCTATGCTGTCATTATAATATATTACTAACTTATATTGTAATTATATACAATTATATTTATATATTAACAGTCACAATGCCAACAACAGTTGCCTCATCTTGTAACCAGGAATTAATCTCTTCTATACGAGAATTAATTCCAATTTGGTAGGGGCCTACACTCAAGACTCTGCGATTCAATTTATTCGCAATCTCCTTCACAATTTTCTGAATAAATCTTGACTCATGCCTTCAAACAACAACCAAAAAGGAAATATCAAAGTTTCCATGTCATTAGTTAAAATCAAATAAGAATTTAAATGTAAACAAAAAATAAAAAATCATGATGATTAGATTTAGCCACTATAACTTGAATGCAAACAAAATTAAGTAAATGTCACGATTCTTAATTCTGGGCACTAAATTCATGCAATTTAAATGTTAATATTACATGAAAAATATTTTTTGATAAAAAAAGTAAATCAACGAAAAATCTAAGTTCGTACAAAAATCACAACTCCAACTTGACCGATTAATTTTTAAGGCAATAGGTTCTTTTTCTTTTCACAATAATTATGATATTTACTTTTTTTTAATTTTAATAAACTTTTCCCAACTCTTTTTTTGTAAATCGTATCATTCTTTTTTCCTGGTGAGATGCCTAACCCTGGGATTGTCCATGTAAAATGACACTCTACTGCGAGAATTTTATTTTGCATTGAACACCGTTTGATTTTGCAAAGTTAATAGAAAATAGACAATTTTTTTAGTAAAAATTAAAATGCATGTGAACTTTTGAAAAAAAAAAGAAGAGAGTTTTGATTGTGTTTATTAATCTAATGCAAAAGAGTAGTACTCTTTGAGTCATAGAATTTAAAATCTTAGACAAAGATATCTTCAATATCTAGTCTCTGTTCAAATAGACAGTATCGCATGGCCTATGTAGACACCTTTTCATAAGGGTTGTGTCCTGTTAATAAGATTGGAAATCTTGATTGTAGATAAGTGAATAAACTTGTTTGTTGAATAACATCTGTTTGCTTGATCAGGATGGTGCCTAATAAATAAGTTAGAGAAAATTACGTACCCATCTTCTAAGATCATCCCTGGCAAATCCGCAACTTCACTCAGAGCTTCCCTCCATGTCTCTACCTTTGCAAGCCTCTCTTGTTTTCTGTCATCGGTCTCTGCTTCAAATCCCATCTTGTGTTTTTCAAATGCTTCTGCAAAGCTCCCTGTTTGGTTCTTGACATGGGATGGAGCCACGTGGAAGAATACAGGAAGTATTATATGATTGACAGTTCTCTTGCGTTCAAGTATCTTCACAAGTTCATTAAGGCACCACTTAGAAGATGCATAGTCTTTTGACAAGACGATTATTGAAATTCTTGACTGTTGGATTGCCTTCTTTAGGTTTGATTCAATATCCTCTCCTCTCTCAAGTTCGTCATCATCTCTAAACGTGTGGATCCCTGCATGCACTAAAGCTGTGTAAAGGTGATCAGTGAATGTCCTGCGAGTATCTTCACCCCTAAAGCTCAAGAAAACGTGATAAGAAAACCGAAGCATTGATGATGAGGCAGGCTTTTTGGACTTTCACAGCAGTAGTCTAGGAACAAAGACAACGCTCTACCAAATGAATTAATAACTTGTATGTTCAGTCTGCAAAGGCACCATTGTATGTATAAGATATCTCAAAAATGGATAACAAATGTTGTTGGCATTACAAATTTAGATCAAACAATGCCAACGAAGTTTCAAATAGAAACCAAGGCTACATGGAAAATGTAAAGTAACATACGATTTCATGAATTTTACGCGAGGTGCGGCATTATGTTCATGAATTTTACATGAGGTGGGCAGTATGTGAAAACACAAGTAGCCATCAAAATAGAAACAAATAAAAATAAAGCTAGTCTTGGTACAGATCCTCATGTACCTACCTTGCATTAGAAATTACCTTTGTTATTTGGTGCAACTCTTGTTTTGTTGTTAACTAGTTACCACATCATCTTATCTACCAACCAACTATAAAACCCTTGGATTTGGGTACCAAGCAAGCTTCTCTAGGGTTTAGGGTTTCATAAAAACTATGAATCTTAGTATGAATCCCCATGTGTCTAGCATGCATTAGCAACTATTCCCTCTGTTTTTTGGTGCAACTCTTGTTTTGTTTTAACTAATTATCACTTCATCTTATCTACCAACCATGAATCCCTGGATATGGGTACCAAGAAAGCAAAAGTTGAGCAACTCCTAACAGCTCACCCAACTTTTTATCTCAAACAAGGCAGCATAATGGGCCAACAAATTTATCTCAAACAACACCTTTTAATGAGGGTTTCGAAATGCAAAGCCATTACAACCTCTCTTATACGGTAGGGGCCCACTGGACTGTGGATATAGTCTTTTATATTGTGGATTTAGCAATGAATAAGTCTACATAAATATAATTAAGCCATTGAAAAGTACCACGAAATATATATGTAAAGCACAAAGCACACTAGGACCAAAACACCTAGTGAAAATACTGAGGATACCAGTGAATGAGGATACCTTTGGTGAGTCTCCTTGTAACGTCCTGATTTTCAAAGATCAACTAGGCGGAAATTAAATAATCCAAGCATGAGGTTTTAGAAAAATACCTTCATTATCACTCAATTAATTATAAAAAAATCTTTTTCATTAACCATTTTCTTTACTTTTCACAAGTCCATAAAAAAACAATAAATAAATAAAAAATACCATGAACGAAACCATAAACCCACTCTCTGTGTATTACATTGAATATAACATATTCTTTTACAAACAAAATTCCCTGAAGGCTTACAACAAATAAGAGGGCGTTGTCCTTTACAAAACATAGAACTCAGCCAAAGAAACAATTAAAAAGCACTGCGACTTATCATCACTTTATAACCATATCAAGGTAAAACCTATTGTTTGATCCTCAAGTTTGAAAACATTCCCTGTACACATGTACAGGTAGGGGGTGAGCAAGCCACTAGCTCACCAAACAATCTCATATAATAACATTAAAACACATGCGGGTCCAACGATACAGTGATACCAAACAAATACATATAAAGTCATATCATGCCATAACCTTATGATTTTATTACCAATAAATTAACATACTTCAATGTCAACAAGATATTCTTTTCAAAACTAATGCGATGCCAAAGTTTATAATACGACTTATATGCATGTCTTTTCTTCAAAGCAGAAAACAGGCGATAAATACACACACTAGGAATCTCTATCAAACATAACGTTTCACAGAAATTTTGTCCGCAGGAACCCATAAACTGGCACCCATGTAAACGTAAGCTATACAAGTGCTATTATTGCTATTTCACGGAAATTTTGTCTGCAGGATCGGCACCCATGTATACGCGCGATTTTTAGGACTTTCACGATGGACACACAAGCCAACTTAATTTGAAGTAACCACATCTCTTATCTAGATTCACGAAAGTATTCACCCACTTTTCTCAAAACAATTCATTTCCAATGATTAAGTATGCAACAATGTTCCATGCAATGTGTATGAGAAATTAGTTTCCGTTTACCTAATTCTCATGCAATTTCTACAACAATTAATACTATCCCCCACCAATAGCCAAAATAGTTATCTTTAATGCATTAATTAAAAGATAACAACATACATGTACAATCCAACATACAACCATAACTTGGAATCCCTCTTGATTCCCAACACTTGGAAACAATCCATATTCCACTTTTTAAAGCCAAACTTTCAAAACTTATATAGTTTTCCATCAAACTCAATAATTTTAAAACCAAACATAATCTTTTTCAAATAATCCAACAACTCCCAAAACATTAACATTTAGGATCTTTCACAAATTGGAGCTTTCTCACTTTCAAATACCCACATGCAATTTTATATACAAAAAATACATTTAATAGCAAGATTATAGGTAATCAACTCCCAATTTAACAAAACCCTCAATTTACAAAACAAATATCTCATATATGAATTTGACGTACAAAAATAACATATTAGCATACTCTAACTAGTAAAACTAATAATCAATTTCTCAATTGTTTTGACTCATACAAAATTTTCAATCAACTTTGTTCTATCTCAACCATGATAACCAATATGATTTTCACCAAATCTCATATTTATTGAATATTACCATTTTCATCATATTATATTAAAAGTTATGGTATAATCTCAATAACACACTTTTTGTAAAGCCCCACTACTTGCTGGCCCAAATAACTTGTGGGTCGACCAACAATACCCAAAAGCTTAAGTCCAAGTTATTTAGTAGCAAGGTAGTGGTGCTATATATGCCCAAGATCACCCATGCAAACTTCCGATGTGGGACAGGGTGTTACGCTTTTAATCATAAAGAATATAAAATATTAACCAAACTAATTTAATCCATTAAATTAGTAAGTTCATTATATTCAAAATTTTTCAAATTAATAATACCAAACATAACTTCACATGTCTCATCTCTTAAGCATAACCATATTTCATGCCAAGCTACTTAAAAAGTTATTTTTTCCCCCAAATTCTCTACCAATAACAATTTCACAACTTTTTTTAAAATTAACTAATCAGCATGATATATATTTATATCAAAAATTATGAAATATGCCCAAAAGTAACATTTTCAAAGTTGTGAGTTCAAAAGTCCACATTTCATATCTTTCACTTTCACAAAAATAAACAAATTTAATCATCAATATATCACCATTAATAGAATACCATGAATTCAACACTTTCAAGATTTTTAATCCCAAAATAACTCTATAATTCCAACTTAACAACTTAAACAATATTCATCAACATCAATTTATTTTTTTCAAAAATAAATTCCAAAATCAAAGATGAGATAATATTTCAACATTATTTGTTTTTTCTCAAAAAAAATTATATAATCATAACATGATGTAGATACCAAGCATACAACTATTTAATTTTGGATTTTTAACAAAAATTATAAACACAAGATGATTTTCCCAAATAAAGTTCAAGATACCAATATTCCTAACATTTCAACATGATTTTCTTCCAAAAATTATTCAAACAAAATCTGATAACAATATATACACAATAACTCCTATAATGATATATTTTTTTAAAATATCCCTAATATAAATTTAAAGCAATAATATGAAGAAAGTCTCTATCTCAAAATATGAAGAAAAGCAAATCTGAAAATGCAAAGCTTGTCTGATCATGAATCCGAGACTACCGTTGCGAAGAGTACGACGAGCTCTCTCACTTTTATTTACAAAACTTTTGTAAAATCTCACTGTAAAGACTCCTACACAAAGCTCAAAGATTAAGCAACAATGGGGGGAGAGAAAGAGACGGTCAGAGAGGGGAGAGCCCTCTGTCCAAAAACAAATCAAGGAAAGAAAATGTTTCTTTTTGGTAATAATATTTTAAAATTTTATAACATAAATTATAAAATGATATAATTTTTCTCACTATAAAATATAATATTTTGTATATTATAAAATATTATATTTTTATACACTATAAAATATTATATTTTTATACACTACAAAATATAATATTTTATTCATTACAAAATATATATAATTTTCTTTACTGTATGATACAGACTATAAATTCAATTTTTAAATATATATTATAATTATATATAATAAATAATAATAACTCAAAAGGGTCACTATCAATCACACAATTAAAAGGATCAAATAATTAAATATGAGTCATAAACAAATTCAAATCAAATTGAATCGAAGTCATGGGTCTAAACATTCAAAATTTAATAACAAAATTTTACTATAAATTAAACTGAACACCAATCAATCCCCGAATTTTCAAGAAATAAGTACTCATCATTTAATTCTGAAATTTTTATCTAACATACTAGACTGATTTGAAAATAACATATAAAAATATTATAATTTTCTGAGATCGAAAACTATTTTTAAAAAATACAAAACCAAACTATTTTTTCACAAAATTTATGCAACAGTCAAATTCAAAAATTTAATCAATTAAATTATGTAGTGACTATTTAAAAAAAAAAAAAAATCTGGGTCATTGCACTCCTTGTGATGACCTATATATTCTTGATACTTCTCTATCGATTAGTTTTATACAGGTAGGACTTACTCTTCAGTAATCGCATTTTTAACACTATGATGGCCAAATTTTTATACCAAAAGACGTGTCATCATTGCATTGGTGCGGTGGATCCCACCTGCCATGCATTGTACAGAAGCATTGACTATACATCATTTTTGGTATGCAACTTTTGCTATACAAATTTGGTAATTGTAGCGTTACACCAATTTTATTCTCTAGGTTGCCCTAAAAGACTCATTAACTCATTGAGCCAAGAGCTAGATATTATTTGTGCAAACAACAGGTCTAAAATAATACAAAATAATAAGTAAAATAAAAAGAATAACCACAAAAAAATTAAAAAAAATTGTAGTTAATTCTAGAGGGCAGTAGCCCCAAGTAAAGGGATTCCGGAAAAGAATTTCAGCTAGTATTAAAATTCCACCGTTTTCCTTCACTGTAACACACTTTTTACCCTTATTATCTCTAACAGTACCTAATTGGCATGTTTGATTGGAAGGATTAAAGCATAGGATTGGGATTATTAATCCGTGGGCCCAATCATCCTATGTTTGTTTTGACATTTTAGTTTAGGATTATTAATCCAATGGATAATTAATCCAACAAATTTGTAGGATTATTAGTAATGGGGTAGGGGTGGGATAACTAATACCACACTAATTTAATAGGATTATTAATACCTCACTATTAGTGTTGTGAATCAAACATGGTATGTTCTCTGTGTGCACTATCAATTTGTTTTTAGCCTTAATCTAATAATATTTAGGAAAAATTATTTATAAGTTCTATTAGAAAAACTTATTTAATGTGAAATTCTGTATAATTTTTTATAGAGTTTTAAGTCCTATTTAGATTGGAAAGTGTTCCACAAGGTTCTATGAATTGTAAGTAAATGGTGTTAGGGTGTGCTTGTTTTAAAGGATTAGGGAATGCGATTGGACTATTAGTCCCACCGAATTAGTAGTCCATTGTTTGTTTGAAAAATTTTGCTCCGGATTATTAGTCCCACAAATATGGGACTATCCTATCCCATGGGGGGTGATAGAAACCATGGGATAACTCATCCCATGGGGATTAGACAATGAAATTACATTTTTGCCCTCTAGTATTTAATTATGTATTATATTTAGTAAAATTCAAAAAAATTTAAATGTCTCAATTTAAAAATAAAATAAAATTTTTTATTTAATTTTTATTTTTGTTTTATTTATTTAATTTTTTAAAATATTTTTTTATAGATATTTTATTGATGTTTTATTTTAAAATTTTGTTTATATTTTATCTAATTTCATTACTTAAATTTTAATAGATGTTTTATTTTATTTCATTATTTAATTATTATTATTATTATTTAAAATTTTAATTAAAAAATAACATATATTTTTATATTTAATTTATTTAATTTTTTAAAAATAAATTTATTTAATTGTGCAAAAAAATGAAATAAAATAAATTTTTATTTAATCTACCTAAAAATAATTAAAATATTAAAGCTATGTTTAATATTGCTATTACTTAGTAAATAATTGAAAATGATAAAATAGTTATTTGAGCATTTATCATTCTCCATAATATCCCAAACAAACATTGGATAACTAAAAATAGTCCAATCCAAACATCTAATCCCATGACTAAACAAACATAGGATACAAATCCAGTCCAACCAAATAGTCCGGGGACAATATATCCCAGGACTAATAGTCCAATAGAATGCAATCCCCCCTTATCCAGTTCGTCCAAATAAACGCACCCTTAAGGTGTGTTTGATTGGATGGACTAGATAAGGAGGGATTAGAATCCATCGGACTTGAGTCCTGAGACTGTGAATCCCTCGGGCTATTTGGTTAAATTGGATATGTATCTTGTGTTTATTTTTTTATAGGATTAGATGTCTGGAAATGACTATTTTTAGTGAATCCAACATTTGGTTAGACGGACTAGATAGAATAAATGAACAAAGGACTATTTTACCCTTTTTTAATTGTTTACTAAATAATAGCAATATTAAACATATCTTTAATATTTTAATTTTCTAGCTAGATTAAATAAAATTTTATTTTATTTTATTTTTTACACAATTAAATAAATTTATTTTTTTTAAATTGAATAAATAAAATAAATAAAATATCAATAAAAATATATGTTATTTTTTTAATTAAAATTTTAAATAAATTTATTTTTAAAAATAATAATAATTAAATAATGAAATTAAATAAAACATCTATTAAAATTTAAATAATTAAATTAAATTAATTATAAAAAAATTAAAATAAAACATCAATAAAATATCTATAAAAAATTATTTTAAAAAATTAAATAAATAAAACATCAATAAAAAGTTAAACAAAATTATTTTATTTTTAAATTGAGACATTTAAATTTTATTGAATTTTACTAAATATAATACATAATTAAATAGTAGAGGGTCAAAATGGTCATTTCATCACCCAATCCCAACAGTGAATAGTCCCCCAAAAATTGTCCCATACCCCCCCAGGATACAATAGTCTCCCATATGGGGGATAAGGAGTCTGGTCAGACTCCATGTCTGGCGGATTAAAAAAAAAAACAAATGCCGGATAAAGAGCCTCCCCCGGATTACAATCCCAATAGTGAATAATCCCTCTCTTATCCCCCCAATCAAACACACCCTTAGTGTACTATTATGCATTTTATATGTTTCCATATTATAGATTATTCTATCATTCAACTTATTAAGTTTTTAGAGACTTTTAGGAAAGTGGAATGTGTACGCTTCGTTTGTGGGAGTGAATGTTGTATTGATCGCGGATTCCAGTGGATTTTGAAAATGTTGTTGGTTTGGATGTAGATATGGGTGATGATGTCATCAAGGTTGGGGGTTGTATTGTTTGCTTTTGACGATTTGGACCCCAAGTGTTTAAGGAAAGGAGGTAAGGTTTTTTTCTTCTGCATTGCTGAGTGTTGTTGTTGTGTGTTTGCCGATTGTTCTTTTTTCAATGTCATATTATCTAATATGGCTTTCACAATTTGTTACAGCCATCCAATGTTAACCCACATCTACAATGTTGTTATGTATTGTGTGTGTTACGTTCAGTTGTATTTGTCTTTGGATTTGTGTTGTGTTGTGTCATTGTTGTATTTAGTGTTTACATACGTGTCATGTTACGTTTCGCAAACTTATTAGTTTTTTAATTGAATGTGAAAATGTTGCTGGTTTATGAAAAATAGTACAGCCATACATTGGCACACTTTCATTAACCTCCAATGACGTTACATTTAGGTTGTAATGTTAACCCACATCTACAATGTTGTCATGTTTTGTGCATGTTACGTTCAGTTGTATTTGTCTTTGAATTTGTGTTGTGACGTTGTTGTATTCAGTGTTTACGTACGTGCCACACTACATTTTGTAAACTTACTGGATTTTTAATTTTTTTAATTGAAAGTGAAAATGTTGTTGGTTTGTGAAAAATGGTACATCCATACATTGGCACACTTTCATTAGCCTCCAATGATGTTACATTTATGTTGTAATGTTTACCCACATCTACAATGTTGTCATGTTTTGTGCGTGTTACGTTCGGTTGTATTTGTCTTTGAATTTGTATTGTGACGTTGTTGTATTCAGTGTTTACGTACGTGTCACGTTACGTTTCATAAACTTACTGGGTCTTTAATTTTTTTAATTGAATGTGAAAATGTTGTTGGTTTATGAAAAATGGTACAACCATACATTAGCACACTTTCATTAGCCTCCAATGACGTTACATTTAGGTTGTAATGTTAACCCACATCTGCAATGTTGTCATGTTTTGTACGTGTTACATTCGGTTGTATTTGTCTTTGAATTTGTGTTGTGATGTTGTTGTATTCAGTGTTTACGTACGTGTCACGTTACGTTTCGCAAACTTATTAGATTTTTAATTTTTTTAATTGAATGTGAAAATATTGTTGGTTTATGAAAAATGGTACAGCCATACAATGACACATTTTCATTAGCCTTTAATGACGTTACATTTAGGTTGTAATGTTAACCCACATCTGCAATGTTGTCATGTTTTATTCGTGTTACGTTCGGTTGTATGGTTCTTTGAATTTGTGTTGTGACGTTGTTGTATTTAGTGTTTACGTAGGTGTCACATTACGTTTCGCAAACTTACTAGGTTTTTAATTTTTTTAATTGAATGTGAAAATATTGCTGGTTTATGAAAAATGGTACAACCATACATTGGCACACTTTTATTAGCCTCCAATGACGTTACATTTAGGTTGTATGTTAACCCATATCTGCAATGCTGTCATGTTTTGTGTGTGT